TTTTTTTTGTCATTTTGAGACAGGGTCTCCCTGTAGCCCCAGCTGGCCTGAAACTCACTAGTAGACCAGGCTGGCCTTGAACTCACAGAGATCTGCCTGTCCTTGCCTCCCAAGTGCTGGGACCAACAGCATGCACCACCACACCCGGACCATTTCTTCCTTAATCTATTGATTGGTCAGAAGTGTGTTTAAAATTTCTATGTATTTGGATATTTTCCAAAGTTTTTGTCGTTATGGATTACTAGTGTTATTACAGTGTGGTCAGAAAACATACTTGTTACAGATTCATTTTTAAAAACTTGCCGAGAGATTTCTGTGGCTTACCCTACAGGTACCCCCAGAGAGATTTTTTGTATTGTGAAGAACTTATGTCCCGTAGCTGTCGGAGGGTATGTTTGCCTGGCTGCTTGTCAGCTCCCCTTGGTCTAGGGCATGGTTTAACTATGCTATTGTTGATTTTCTTCTTTGTGCGTGTGTGTCCAAGTGCACAGGTGTGTGCACGTGAAGGCCGGAGGGTGACCTCATCTGTTGTCCCTCACCCACCTTTTTGCTTTCATCTTTTTCTTTTTTCTCACTGGCCTGGAACTTGCAAGTAAGCGAGGCTGGCACGGAGCGCCAGTGCCAGGGATGCACCTGACTCCACCTCGCTGGGTACGCTCCAAGAGCAGTAAGCACACTAACTACTGAACCACCTCTCTAGCCCCCAAGCCCCCCTGAGCATTTCTTGTAGGGTGGTCATGGTGGTGATAAACTCTCTTAGATTGGTTTGCTGGGAATGATTTTGTTGTTTTTTCTTTCTTTTTTGCTGTTTTGGTCTCCCTGTAGCCCCAGCTGGCCTGGAACTCCCTACACAGACCAGGCTGGCCTTGAACTCACAGAGATCTGTCTGCTTCTGTCTTCCAAGTGCCAGGACTGAAGGTGTGGACTACCATGCCTGGCTTTTGTCTGGGAACGTTTGAGCTCTCTCTTTTATTTCTGAAGGATAGCTTTGCTGGCCAGGCACAGTAGGATTTTTTCCACTCTTACAACTGTGAACATCTCACCCCAAACTCTCCTGGCCTGTAATCTTTTTGTGGCGAGGTCTTATTTCTGGTGAATTGAAACATGCTTACATGTAATTTGATTGTTTATCTTTCTACTTTGAGAATTTTGTTCTTATCCTTCAAGATCCTTGTTTTATGTCTTGGGAATAGTCTTGAGTTGAACTTGACTAGGCACTTGATCTTCCTCTACCTAAATATTTGAATGCTTTTCGAGGTTTGGAAAGTTTTCTCTTATTATCTCTCATCAGTCGCACTCAAACCCCATTAATATGAACACTTTACATGCTAAATATTGAAAATTCTATTCCCTTCCCAGAACTTTCATTTCTTAATCCTTTGAATCTGTATTTTTTTCAAATCACTTGCCTTAGACTTTATTGATTTTTTTTTTGTCTTTTTGAGACAGGGTCTCCTTGTAGCCCCAGCGGGCCTAGAACTCATTATGTAGATCAGGCTGGCCTTGAACTCAGAGAGATCTGTCTGCCTCAGCCTCCCAAATGCTGGGATTAAAGGCATGTGCCACCATTTCATGCTTGGCTGAAAATTGTTTTGGAACAGAGTCTCATATAGCTCAGGGTGGCCTCAAACTCTGACGACCAGGTCTGCTGGGAGCAAGAATCCACCAGGAGTGGACGAACCTGAGGGCCTGGACAACCTTTTCGGGGCCTGATTACAGTGAGGTCAGAGTTCTGTGACTTCACACAAGGGTAACTGCTATGGTAATGAAAGGCCTTGGACAGAGGGCTTCAGAGGGACCCCTGGGCTGGGCAGGGACATTTGGGTGGTGGTGAGGATTGGCTCTACCCCATATTCTTGGATTAAGGCCTGATTTACCACTAGTGTGATGTAGTTGGAGATTAGGACCTCAATGGAGATGACCGAGGAGGATACAATGTGGTCCATGAGGTGTCCCTCATCTAATTACATGGCAGATGTCACTGTAAGAGGTGGAAAGGGTGGGGACCAGAGGGATGGCTGCACCAGGGACAGTCATGCAAGACACAGTCATGCAAGGACACAGGAGGATGCCAGATTGCAGGAAGAGAGGCCTTAGGAGCACCTGTGTGGCCGTGGATGAAGATCTGCTGTTAACTCGATCTGTCCATGATATTCTGTCATGGAAACTTTATTCTCTCAGTCACCTACCTACCTTTTAATGTACCAAATATTTGTCTATCATCTGTCATCTGTCTACTTAGTATCTTTGTGTCTACAATCCATCAACTACCTACCTACATACCTATTATACCTATCTCTCTCTCTCTCTCTCTCTGTCTCTCTAATCCATCTAAATCTATCTGTCTATCATCTATGGATATCTTTTTCTTTGTGGTCCTTTTGAAGCAGTGTCTCCCTGTAAGCCCCAGCTGTCCTGGAACTCACTATGCTGACCAGGCTGGCCTTGAACTCACAGAGATCTGCCTGCCTCTGCCTCCCAAGTCCTGGGACTACAGCTGTGCGCCACAACGCCCGGCTCATCTACATCTATTGATCTATCATCTCTCTACCTAACCAGCATCATTATCTATCATCTCTCTACCTAACCAGCATCAATGTGTGTCATCCAGTATCTATCCATCTACAATTGATCTTTGTATCTATCTATCTATCTATCTATCTATCTATCCATCCATCCATCGATCTATCCATCTATCTAATCTGTCCATCATCTACATTTATGTACCTAATATATCTCTATGAAACCATCATCAATCTATATTATCCACTAGCTACTCATTATCTATCTTTCTATCTACCTATTTATTTATCCATCTAACCATCTTTCACTCTGTCTCCATTAACGATATCTTGGTGATGAAGCGCAACATTCTACAATGGTAGCCAATCACAGTTCTACAGAGCTACATCACACTCACGTATGGGATTTAATGGTGGTGTGGGGACATGCAGGAAGTCAGTCTTCAATCTCTTTCATGCTTAAATCTCTTTCCTGCAGGACGTGGGCCCCTATAAGCATAGTGACGAGAAATCCCTGATGGAAGAACAAGCAGAGGAAGTATTATGCAGTGTTTGAGCCTCGGACACTTCAGATAAGGTAGGAGCATCACCTTCTATGCTCCTATTCCCAGCGATGAAGTTCCCTCCCAGGAGAAAGAGGACTGGACATGACGTGGTTCCCAGGTGAGTGTCTCTGAAACAAACCTCTGCCCACTCCCCTAAAACAGCTCTCACAGGTCTGCTGGGAGCAAGAATCCACCAGGAGTGGATTCTTACAGTATGGCTAGCAAGAGGGCAGACCCTGCAGGACTAGACAATGACCAGAAGAGGGTGCACAATGGGCAGACTTAGGTCAATACTCACATATCACCCAATTATCACTCAGTGCCTTAGCAGCTCCATTTCTAAAATGGGGGCAACAATAATGTATCATGCAGGGATGTTGGAAGGACTTCTGTGTGAAACAATAGCTAAAAGGCATCTGACATGGTGCAGAGTGCATGCCTACTTAACACATTGCCATGAGACAACCTTTATGAGAGTGATAGGAAAAATAATCAGAAGACTTGGCTGACTCTTTCTGCTTCCACCACATCTCCCACTGGAGACAGGAAGCCACTGGGAGATTCAAACGTCTGCCTTTTTATTACTGGACAGCAAGATGATGCTTAACTGTGGTATGTGCTCAAAGGCTGTGCTAAATACTCGTCTGATCATCATTTACCAAAAGAGATATTCCAGTTTGGATCTGGAATGTACCCAGAAAACACTATGTTTGTCTTAGTTTGCTCTTCATTGCTGTGCCAAAATACTCTGACCAATACCAACTTGGGGAGGAAAGGGTTTATTCAGCTTACATCTCCCAGGTTGCAGTTCATCAGGGAGCCCAAGGTAGGAACTCAGGGCAGGAACCTGGAGGCAGGAGCTAGAGCACAGACCATGGAGGAACGCTGCTTACTGGCTTGATCCCCTGGCCCCTGCACAGCG